GATAAAACCTAAACGATACCCATCCCTAGGCTCAGTAATAACCTAACTAAGGTAATTGCATTTTTTAAGCTCATAATTTCTGGAAAGAAGCATAGTTTAGTCTTCTTAGTTTTAAATTCATTGTATGCAACAGTCGCTACCACTGATGTCTAGTAAATGAGCCAACTCACACCGAATCAATCCAAATAAAAAAAAGTGAAAATAGTTATTTAATCTGAGGGTCATTCAAAGGATGATAAGAGAAGATAAATACAGTGTTACCCCCAAAAAGATGTTACACAGGACTAGAGAGCACTACACGCTAAAGAGATGTAATGAATGCTTTATAACACACTATAGAAAAGTTGGTGTTGGTGTGTGAATACAGTTTAAGGAGTTTACTCATGTGCAGTATTTGAAGTTATTATAGAAGATGTTTACAGCTCTGTTTTCCATATATGCTGCACATGTGGGAACGGCAGAGACAGACGTGACTTTTGTTTTTATCGATTGCACAAGTCACTTTAAGTCACCTTAAATAGAATTGAGTGGCTAAGTAGACGCAGAGGAAAACACACTGGAAAGTCATAAAGGTTCTACTTTTCTTAGCAAAACAACCCCAACGCCTCAAAAGACGGCATGGTCCTTTTACTCTCATCGTAATAAAATTCTTTTGGCTCTGAAGAGATCCTCAGAGTCAGTATTTGTATATAACCGCTTCTCATTTCTGATGTTAAACAAGCTGCAGGCTGTTGAACACGATTCGTCTGGTGCCAGAACAAAGAGTTTTAAAAGCACACGAAAGAATACTTGAATTCTTTTTTCATGAATGTGCAGAACTGCTTAGTTCTGGCAGTCGTTCTCAGCTGAACGAGAACTTGTCTGCTCTTCATCATCAAAGCCAGTCATGCAGCTGAACCTGCATTAGGAAATGACAGCGAGGTGACCACTAACAGTTCTTACTGCTGTGTCTCTTTTCTGTCGCCAGGTTAAACCCAACGAAAGTACTGTATGTGAGGGTGCCCTGCTTTTCCTTTACACCGGAGATTTCTACCTTAGTATCAAATTCCAGGACGACAGCGCTGGACGAGAGCTTCCTTTGGCCTGGTTCACTCTGCCCAGCGTCCACATCAGAGCCCTCGACACTCCACCACAGGCCGGGGCCTGAGGACTTCAAGGTCATAGACCTGACCAAGAGATCGGGCGTTTTGTTGCTGTTATATGTAAATACAGTAGCATTATAATGAATTGACATGTGAATATCATTTTGGTAAATGTTTCTGCATTTGTATAGTTAACACAACATGTGTGCTTGGGGTGAATAAAAACAAAACACACAATCTGCAAATTTGCACGGGGTAATGTCAGGTGAAATGAAATTCGCCATCCTTTCTGAGCGCAGCCATTTCAGTGCAATCAAAGCAGGGAGACAAAGTAAATCAGCTCGTTTCCTGGTTAAGACAGCACAGCAATTCACACTGTTAACCAGCAGCAACACATGTTAACAATGTTGATCACTGAGGAAACAAGCTAGCTAGCCTCAGATACAGGAAGTCATCTTATTAGCTGTGCAGCAGCATCTGATTTTGTGTAGCCCTGATTTGTCAGACTGTGGATTGCTCTGTATTACACATACTATGTGGTTGGTTGTCAGTTGTAAGTCAAGGGGGAGTAAGTGTGCTCATGTTTTTGTCCAAAAAATCAAGCTGGTTTGTTAAGTGGGTGCATGCAAACCAAAGTTAGCTTGCTTTTTTAGCCAATGGGGGTCAACGGGGATATTTGGACCAACACTTCCTGTTCTGTACCAGCCTCAGTTCTAACGAAGGCTGATGCATTAAAGAAGGCTGATAAAATATAATATGAAAACCTGAGCACACTTATATCTGAGCATTGCCAGCGGTTTCAAGATCCACCACAACCACAGTCTGCTCACAAAGCCTGCTGTTCCTGGCCTGCATGAGAAGAAGGTGACCTTGAACAAAAGTTTAAGTTAAGAATGTTTTTGATTTTCTCACCTCATATACTGGCTGGTTAGAAGCAACCTGCTGGATAAGCCACAGAAAGGTAGCGCAAGACTCAACAAGGACGTGCAAAACAATGCTAGTGCTTTCTTTAGTGCCAAATTCTGGGTTTAGCCAAGAGTGAACACTGAAACTGTTTCCACTGCTGTATGGACTTACCTCAGCCTGTATCAGTACACTGAATTATGGATTTGAGTGTCTTAGATTAGGCCTGTTGTGTGTGGCTTATGATAGCTGTAAATATATGTTAAAAGAAGACGGCTATTGTTCATTTGGGCATCATTAAAGTTTTCATTTGTCTATCCGAGTCATTAAATATTTGTGCTTCATTTATCGTGCCCACTGAGGTGACCTTTACTATAACAGCTTTTTGCGGACGCTCGATTCTGACATTTACATTCTTCAAAATCCATAAACTGCAATTAGACAGAAAAATATTACAGAGTAATAATCATTTTAAATGTTGAATTAATGCTGGAACAGCCAAACGCCGTGTTGTTGACCGGTGATAGCTGGCAGGCTGTTTGTGCACTTTGAGTTATACACAGTATATTTATAGCCTGTGATTGAGTAGCAGCTACACTGACACTCACCACAGTGTACACATCTGTGTTTTCATGCTCATTGATGCACTGGGAGTTACCCAGAGCACCCAGAGCACTGCTAATAGAGTCCATTTGAAATCTGTTTTCCAGTAACAGTTGAATTTCTGCAACCTTTCAGTTTACTACAGGTCCCAGCGGAGTCTGAAAAGAAGGCTAATAACAAGCTCTCCCACCACCTGACACTGAAACTGTACCATGAAAGAGTTTGTATTCATATAAAGTTGTAGACGGTAAAATGCAGGTTTTATAGGTGTATTTCAATGGACTTCTTTTTGTTTTAGTGCTGTGATGTTTTCTCCTGCATACAATGCAAACCGTTCCAAACTCATGCCCCCTGTACTGATGAGTTTATCTATGCATTTATTTGTTAGACTATTAATAGATTCTGCGCTTGAGCGCCTATCAGCTCAATGTGGAACTCATTTAAAAATGAACTGTAGCTCTGGGTGGGTCCTCCTGCATTCATATGGTAAAAACATATTTTCTCTTAAACACAGTTCTTGATATCAAAGTGTGCACTCTGAGCTTCTGGCCGACAGACGGTGCAGTACACTCTCACTGTGCTGGACCTGAAAATCAACCTAAATAACAAAGCAAAGGTAGCAATTAAACGTATCCTACTGACTTTAAGTAATTTGATTACATGTCAATCCTTTCCTTAATAATTAATTATTTGAATAACTAGTAATACTTATTTAGCTTAAAATAGCGTAATTCCCCATGTAATTAAATGGAATTTCAGTGTATTGTATTTGAAGTGACAATGTAAGTATATTTACTAATACTTAGACCGTAGAATAAGAAGGTAACAGGTCAGGTTTTTAAAACAATCATACTGTAAATAAATACATAAGTAATTTTTCAGTACTTTTTGGGACAGAGGCTGTATTATGGAGTGTCTTAACCTTGGCTTTGTTGCATCTTTATTTTCCTACATTGTTATTTAATATTCATTATATTGATATGTGTGACGGGTTTTGTGTTATTCAGTTGTCCTTTGTGTACTTATGGTGTAAGATGGGGAAAAATAGATTTTCTGTTAAATTATCAGGAAATTATTTTTATTATTTATTATTATTATTTATTTTTTTTGTTTCACACATGGTACAGCAGTAATTCATTCCCATACACAACCTTCCTTTCAATTAAAGTAACACTGTTTCCATGCATGAAATCATGCGCTAGTTACATTTACTTAGAGTATAATTTTTTGTTTCCTTTAAAAACTTGACTTTTTATGTCCTTATTCTAGAGCAGCGGTCCCCAACCCCCGGGCCTCGGACCGGTCCGTGAGTCGTTTGCTACCGGGCCGCGAGAGTTGAGGCTCAGGTGTGAAATGTATAGTTTTCAGGGTTTTTATCGGTTTTCAGTGTTATTTTGTTATCGTTTTTATCGTTTACTTTGTTAATAAATTTTCTTTTTTTTGGTACCGGTACTAGTTTTATTTTGTTGTATTTATCCGTGACACCTTAAAGGCCGGTCCGTGAAAATATTGTCGGGCATAAACCGGTCCGTGGCGCAAAAAAGGTTGGGGACCGCTGTTCTAGAGTATCTACCTTTCGATATATTCAGATAAATATAATTACACTGTAATTTCAAATAAGTTACACTGCATATAATTTAGTTAAAGTGGGATGACACCCTTAGTCACAGACAGATTATAAAGTGTTAATAAATTTGACACTGTTTCAGTTGCGTTTTACTCCAAATGATTGCGTCCTGTTTACGGAGGCAAAGAATCGTGTTTTGGTTTGTATCCCTAGTATTGGAGCACAGATTCCACTAATTCACCGTGGATGCCTTTCAGGGCCCAGAAGAAGAGCTGAAAAGGAAAAGCAGAAAACTGGAGCATTAAGAAGCAAGTGAACCTTCTGTGTGCTTCAGACTGGCCTGGCCGAGAAACACGGCACGTCTTAGAAAGTATGAATTTTATCCTCATCGGTCAAACCAAACACTTGTCTTACAAACACCACATGTTTGTTAGCAAAGTTCCCTCAGAGCTACTGAAGACGTTTGACAAGCATTTTCTCAGACCTGCTGTGGCTTACAGCTTTCTAATTGGTTGTTGGCCAATTAGAAAGCTGTAAGGGAGGAGGATGAGAGCTAAAACCGTAATGACGGACACGCCTGGGTCTCGTCTCGTTTTGGCCATCGTTGACTAAATATTTCATCAAAACCTTTACAGCACATTTCATGCGTCGTACTGTCCATCAACATCTCCAGAACTCCAAATGAGGGAATTTCTTTTTAAGGTGGCACACAGGCAGTCCTTATGGAAACAGTGTCTGGATTTAAAAACAAGCACTTCAAACACATTTTATTGAAGGTATTTTATTAATATATATATTTTAATCTCATCTTTGTCCCAAACAGTATACTGACCATCCCAGGAGTGAGACCACCCAGAACAGACTTCTGCATCATGCCTTTGAGTTTAAATGAGGTTTCTTATCAAACATCAGCACTGCATTATTAGCCCCCAAGCTTCATTAACTTGCAGCAAACCTGTAATTCTGATTGTAATCAGCCAAACAATCATCCATCAATCTGATGCACTTCCTCTCTGCCTGAAATTAGATTGTTTCAAACGTGAGGAAAGTTTTTAGTTTCAGAAAAAACGAGAGCCGTAGTGTCTGTATGAAAACGGTGATGAAAATGACTCTGCAAGAAGCCAGAGTTCAATGAAATCTCCTCTCTTTCAGTACTGACTGCTAAGTCATGTCCATTCACATATATCGGCAGCCTCAATATGCAAATGATCTCGGGAGTGAAATGGTGGTGGGGGGATTAAGGTGTGTGCTGAAGAAAGACACGTGTGCAGGAAAAATGTTGCTATATATAGATAGATATAGATATCGTCCATGTATTCACATTCATAACAGCCAATAACCTGCATGAGGTTTCTTCCTGTTAAAAGGGAGTTTTTCCTTCCCACTGTTGCCAAACTGCTTGCTCTTGGGGGGTCATATGATCGTTGGGATTTTCTCTATGTATTATTGTTGGGTCTACCTGACAATATAAAGCACCTTGAGGTGACTGTCGTAATTTGGTGCTGTATAAATTAAAATTGAGTTGAACTGAAAAAGTGGACAAGCTGACTTACAGATAATAACAAATAAGAAGACAACACTTTGTCTAATTAGATGAGTAAAAAACTCTTAAAACGCACGACAGACTAGATTAGAGGTCTCGAACTCCAGGCCTCCAGGGCCGGTGTCCTGCAGGTTTTAGAT